ACGCATATTATCGTTCTCTAAAAATAATATCTTATTGTCTATGATTATTTTAGTATCATTATCACTGTCATCATTACAGTTATCGCTGTGTGCACAAATATCACTCATTATCATTAATTTATGGCAATAATATTAACAAGATATGAAACCTTTTCAGCATAACCAGCTCTTCGACCAACGAAATACGCATTATTCACAACATTGTGATGCGTTAAGGTTGCACCTTTCGGAACGCCGGTCGTTCCCTGAATTCGACACATCATTACTCAACACGTAATTATCATGAACATAAGTTTTTCGATCACTTTATACCAGCAGTTTATCTCAATCAATTTCTATTAATCGCCTATCGTGGTTAAGATTTCTATTAATAGCCCGATTGCTCTCTTTTCTTTCTCAGTGTTTCTCAGTGATGCAATATATCACAACCGATTTCAAGAATGACAATGAAACGTTTAGACAATAAATTTGAACTGTTTCTTCCGTTCCACCGAAATGATTTTCCGTGCCCTCTTCACGCCAATTCCGCTCTGTGATAAACACTACTGTGGACATTTAAATCCCTAAATTTGGAACAATCGTATGACCACAATTCTGGAGAAGTTTATGCACATACACTTGTGTATTGTATATTGACCGGATCATCCGGTTGCACGCATCTTTCGATATCAGCTAATTTGATGCGATCTTCTTCTGAACCCATTTTGATCACTTCTGAATAACGCCATCCACCTCTTCAAATAATTGATTACTTCACAAATCCATTCAAACATAACACATACATTCGTTTATATATTCAGTTACATCAACACACAATTTTCATATATTTGCTTATATTTATTTTATGTTTATATTTATACAATCAATTCACATACAAATAGAAACAAGTGGAATAAGTATCGAACAAGCAAACAATAATAAATGGCAAATATTCTTACCTGTACAGTTTTTGATCATCAATGATGATAAAATGCCGGAAAGATGGGAAGTTATGCGATGCGAAGTCGCCACGACCTTCAGCTTTCAATATGATCTCAGGTATGATATCAGAAACGGATGCGTAATAGTTGGATTTCTTGAAGCTTGGTGGCGCTATCAATGCCTTTATTCCTACTTTCTCCAGTGCAAATTTCAGTTCTTCCGATTGATAACATGGGTTGATGTTCACCTGAAATTTACCATTTCAATGAAAGCTTACGTTTATTAGAAGTATCAGTAAAAGTATGATTAATGTCAATGGTAATCGCGCTGTATATTACAAATATGTGTGAATAAACAAAATACCATGATCATGCCAGCAAGGGCCGTAGCGAACTGACAAACAATCCATTCGTAGGTGTTCGGTCCCCACATACCGACCCGATCTCCACGATCCAGTCCCAAATGTATCAATCCTGTCGCCAGTTTCTCGCTCTGCAGGCAATCTGATCAATAGTCAAGTACACGCGTAGATGAGCTGTCAGTGAGTTAATCTCGCTATTGGCACGAGTGATTGATTGGCAAAGCAATTGATAAGTAATATGGTTTGGATTTGGGTTGGATGGATTTTGAGAAGGTACTGAAACAAGATGAGTGATAAAACGAACGTCATGAAGAAGTTGTTGATAGGTTTTTCGGATACCGCT